GAGGAGGGGGTTTTGCAAGGACAAAATGAACTAATGTTGAATATTCCGTATTGGTTTTACTGTAATTCTTTTCTAATTCTTAGTTTATTCAATTTCATCTCCTTGAGGCTGGTAGGTATGGAAATGAGGTCTGTTCTTTTTTTTTTTGCCTGTGTAAATTGTAGCTATCACCTCAAGCCTTTTGAACAAGATTACCCAGATGGCCTTGCGTGGTGTGCCTGAAGTTTTATTTTCCTCCTTTGCCTGCTTTTCCTTCTTGGCTGCAGGGGAAAGGAGAGGGAGCTGGGAAGCCTCCTGAAGCCTCTGGGCAAAGCCAGGAGGCAGCAGCTGTGGCAAGGAGAGATCTGGGGGAAGAAGAAGAAGAAAAAAGAAGAAGAGTGAGTTTGGGAGGGAGCGCTAGGGGGTGGATGAAACTGGTGCAGGAGGCGTTTGTTGTGTGCATGTGTGTGTGTGACGGGAGGGGGGCACTAAAATCTAAAGCTGTGAAAACCAGCCATTATAAACCTGGCTTAGCTGTCAAGGGGAACAGAATAACCCTTGGAGTACTCTAAGAGGGGGCTGGTGGAGTGGGTACACTCTGCGTGGGGACAGGAAGGCGTTAGGGAGTGTATACGTGAACATGTGTTTGGAGTAAGGTGCTGTTTGCCGATACAATGAAGCTTGCCCCACTGAAAACATGGCATTACCACATCACCAGTCACATTAGCAGTACTTACAATTCAAACAGCTAGAATCACACCCTTAAATTTCAGGATTTGGCGAAAAGCATGATAAATAGCAACCTCCTGCCCAGGTGATCATTGCTGTGCGAATGGTGGGATTTGTCATTGGGTTTCCACTCACTGTGCCCTGGACATAATCTGCTGCTGGTTTTCTGCCCCAAGGAAGAATATGATTTTAATACATTAAGGTGGTGCAGAGATTGAGAATTATGCAGAGTTAAAGTGTTCACCTGTTTATTAGTCTAACATGCCACAGCCTCCATCCACACTAATCTCCAAAAGAACACACCCAGCTCCCATATTGCTGATCTTGGCTTGGAGGCAACAGTGAAAGGAGATTCTCACCTGAGATAAGGTGAAGAGAGGAGCAGGAGAGGAGGAGCTGAATTTATAACGCTTAAAATATACTTACAAAAACATCATATTGGAAGAAAGGCTGATGAGAGACACTGATGTTCTACTTCTTTCTCTAAATTGATACCCATCTACTCCATGTCTTTTATTTAGTGCACACACATGCAGGTGTTGTGATGTTTGTCAGAATTTTGAATATAGTTATTCATACTAGTAATACAGCAAAAAAAAAAAAAAAAACACCTCGGCATGTATTCTGAATGGTCAGCATTTCCCCCAAATTAAAGGGTGTTTTGGATCAAAATCCCCTCCATGTTATTTCAGCAGCGGCTTTTTAGATGCTTCGGACAAAGAGCCAAAGGTAGGCTATCACTGTTTGTTTTCAGTCCCTCCATTTGTTTGTTTGTTTTGTTAAGGTTTTGCTCTCCATCATAATGAATCACTTTTTTCATCTTGTTCTTATTTATTCTCATGGCTGGAGGTAGAATGTGATGGTTGATGAGGGGCTGAAATGAACTGAGCCTTACCCTTAGCCTGAGGGCTGGCGCATATCTTAGCATAAGTGATGGCCAACCGGAGGGCTAGAGCCTGGCTGAGAGCGCCCTCAGGACAGCAACTCTGACAGATCATGTATTTATAGGTCTGTTGAAAGACCTCCATTGTGTCCCACATAGCCTCAGAGCACATCTGTCCTCTGTATTATAATAAAGCCGCTGGCTTTACCGCTGTGATGAATGGGTGGCTCTCGAATGGCAAGCTCCAGAATCATTAGAGCACTCCTAACATGCAGGTCTACCCATGTGAAAGGCTGGTGTAGGGTGAGTTTCTACCGGTGAGCAATACAGTGCAGTTGAGAGCTTTTAATCAATGCTAGGTAGCCCTTATTAATTCTGAGCCAAGAGGTGGGGGGGTTAGAGAGGACAGAGAAAAACAGTGAGGGAGTGGCCGAGTTTGTTGATGCTTTTACCAAAGGATACATTTGCATTTACCTCAGTGGGTTAAAACGCCCTCTAGCCTTTTACTCTGCCGGTTAGAATGTGGCACCTATAGCATTTACAGGCAGCTTTGCTGGTCAGATTTAATTGCTGCTGGAAACTTCACCAAAGTCAGCATTCCATCACACCTCCACTGAGCCATATAGCTTCACTGTGACCATGAAAATATAACTTAGCACAGCATATATTTTAGAGGATTTGTGGAGAAACAATTTTTAAACAAGAGAAAAAAAAAATGTGAACTTGCTTGAATAGGTTCTGCATACCCTTCGAAACAGCTTGACTTTCTGTGCCTTAAGACTCACAAGCAGAGTGGGGTTTGAGCTGTTTCCCAATCTCATGTTCTTCTGTTACCTCTGGAGTAGAATATAAATGATTCCCTCTCAGTGTATGCCAGGGCCCTGCAGCGACCATAGTCCGGTCTAAAATTCCTCACTGCAAGCTCACCATAACTCAAGGTTTGACTGATAAATAAACAATGGAAAATAGCACACTACACCAAATACTCCACTTGGAGCACTGTCACATATTACAGCCCAGTCACCATGAGGTGAGAAGTAGCTCTGGTAAATGCTGGTGTATAAAAGTGACCGTTTTTGATAAAGAAGGCAAGACAAGTATAGTCCTTTTATAGCATGGCCATTTACCAATTAGGGAGGGTCTGACAAAAGACAAGCTGCACTGTGGGAAGTGTAGTGTGGCTAGTGTAGGACCTAGCAGGACTACACTAGAAACTAAAAATCAGGTTCTCTTGCATTTTTCTTTTTGGCCATTCTTTTTACAGTCAAGGCTATCATTAGCTTTTGTCACTAGCTGCCCACCTCTATTGTTGCTCTACTATCCAAGAAACTGTGCTGCTGCTAAAATATCTTGCATGGCTGAGCTGACAAAACCACAGTGGAAGTTATCAAAGCCTGCTGGATTAGCAGTTATACATTAAAAGTGGATTATTACAAGCTGCCTCGGGCTCCTACAAAATAAGAAACTTGGGAGACTTTAATGATTTTTTGTTCATGTGGAACTGAAGATGCAACAATACCAAGGATTTCTCTTTTGCATGCAACATGCTTCTCACACAACTTCAAGACCAAGAACCTGTCAGTAAAGGTGCGGAGCTGCATTTTTCGTACTTAGTCTGTCCCAATTTCACACTAGATTTGAATTTTTACAACTCAAGGAAAGCTACTGTGACATGTTATCCTACTAGTGTGTCCTTTTGAGATATTATCCTACCAGCAATTGCCCATCTAAGAAAATTTAGCGCAAACAAGACTGTGGAGGCATTCATCACACAGAAGAACTAATTTTAACACTAGAAATAATGACTAGAAATATGTAGCCATTATGTTATAATAAAGGTATTTATGAGTCTTCAATCTCACAGCCTATGAGATATCTTTGAAAATTTGAAATCGGCTCCCGAGGCTGATGGTGGGGGAGGAGTGGAAGGAGAGAGAGATGGCAAGGGAATGATGTGGGAGTTGTTTTGCTTTTTTGCCGGAGGCAACATTTATAATTATGTTGTTGGCATAAAATGGCCAAGAGGCTTTTTCAATAAAGGTAGGAGGCACCTATAGCACAGAATGTTACCTACAGATCAACACAGAGAAAGAAAGAAGACTGCAGATAGAAGAAGACTAAATCTAAACTACAAAGTACTGTATATCATCTAATAAGTAACTATGTTTAGTTAGGTCAGTCATTAGTAATAGTGGCCACTGCTTGTGCTTGGCTGTTGAACTGAGCACTGTGAGGGGTGATGATTTGAAGATGAGGTGAATGAGTCCATTCACTGACCTTCACCAGTGGTGAGTAAGCAAAGCCTGGGGAGCAAGGGAAATATGGCCACAGCCACTGTCTCCGGGCCCTACTCTGCCTTTTGATGGCTGGCAATAATCACTAGAGAGAAAGCAAATGAAAGAGACATGACCGCAGACAACCCCACAGATGAGATGAGGATCTCGAATGACTTTCTTCTTCCCCAAACCCCTGTCCTCTAAAGGACTGGAAGTCAGCTTCTTAATGCCATTCATCTTTTCTCCAACAGGCTGAAAAATAGGATATCTCTAATTCCTTTTCAAGTTAGTCTGAATGCAGGAAGTGAGAGGAGATACAGTAGGGCTGGACAGGGGCTCATTATACTCAGGCAGGCCCTTAGGTAACAAATGTAAAAATCACGTAAGGTGCAAAAAAGTACTGCTGAATTTTTAACTAAACACACATTAATTCTCTTTCTTACACAAATCTCTGACCAAATACTATCTTAGGAAAATAATAACTCGTTTTTTGACCATCCATTGTTGTTTATGATGCTCAACAAACAGCCAGAGAACCAGGTATAAAGTATAGCTGTCATTTTAATAAGAAAATATTAGTATATATTAAAGGGATAGTTTCATGTTTTCAGAAATGTGCTTGTTTGTTTTCTTTCTGAAAGTTAGCAAGAGAATATTGATAATGTCTGCACAATAAATATGTAGCTAGAGCCGGCAGCCAGTTAAATTATCTTAGTCCAGGAAGTCACTGGGCCCAACCAAGAAATAGTCCAGAGCCAGGCTAGCTGATTCTCCATGTTTTAATACTTTATGATGAGCTCAGCTAAACAGCTGGTGGCTGGAGCTTCATATTTATTGTACAGATATGAGAGGGATGTTGACTTGATTCTGGCTTTTTAATCTTGACAAGAAAACAAATAAATGCAGTTCCCTAATTATCAAACACTTCTCACAAAAGTTTACAATTGAGAATGATGTTTTAAATACTTTATTAGTATTTTGCACCCTTGAAATAATTAATACTAATAATTTACAGTACTTATTAAAAAAATCCTTGTGATGTGCAATTAATATTGATATGATTATAGTTTGGTTACTAAGAGTAGATGTGTCTGATTGGTGAATATTTGTTATTCACACAGGCACAGAACATTTTGATTTTATGACTGAGAGGAAAGCATTGCTGTGCACCGCTCACAACACAGTTGCACCTCTAGCCTATGAGAATAACAGTCAGTCAAAAGGGAATCTAGGGCAAAGAGGCCTGAAAGGGAGACATATAACACAAACCGTAGATAGCCAAAGAAAGTGGAGATTCTGCCAAAAGGGATGAAGACAAGATGACAGGGCTCCGTGTGGGATTTTACTTTGGATTTTGGCCCTGCAGGGATGTGTGGAAGTACAACTGACAGGACTTGCATGGAGAAGTCGGCTCTGTCCAATATAACTAAGTAAAGAATGCCCATGTAGTCAGTGATGCACCAGCATAGATCCTCTAAGGCAGAAATATTTTGCTTCTTGTTTTCCACTGACCACATTCAGAAAGCAAGAAAGACTTTTAAGATGAAGGACAGGTGCAGTAAATTTAAATGTAGGGATTACTGTCTAACTACTGTGCTTCAAATGCAGCACTGGGCAGACAGCGAACAGCAAACAGTCTCTACAGCAATGCAAAAACAGCGAACAAACACCATGACAACTTTAGCTGAGATTTATTTCACATTTTTGCTACATTCCTCTTTACTCAAATCTAGGTAGCGTGGGTGGGTCAGTCATCTTAGAAATACTTTATATTTAACTTCATATCAACATGTGCTACAAGTAAACATGGCCTTGGAGTGGGTAGTACAATATGCTTTTAATCTGTTCAGTCATGTCTGAAGCAACAAATTTGCTTTGAAAATGTGTAAAAAAAAAAAAAAAAGAAAAAACACAACACATATACAATTAAACAATTTACAGGTCAGAGGAATATTATGATCCAATTAAATAATGGAAATGATATGACATAATAATTTACAAAATTATTTTCTTTACTGTGTATATAATGGTCTGGGATATTAAAATTTGATACTAATGTCAACTGTATTTTATCTTTTAATCCAATAAAATAACTTCCATTTAAGTAAAAAGAACACTTCATTGGTATCACAATATTCAGCATCATGTTAAATGTGAAAAAAGGTTGCTTTGTTGAAACTAACTGTTTAGGACAACTGAGACATTCTGTACTGTAAGCAACACATTAGTGACCTTTTTACAATGTGGAATAAAAACAGACTTAGCCAGATTTGCCAGTGAGACAGCAAAGTCAAGTCACTGGAGACAAGCTATGCAACATACATCAGCAATAAAAGCCTTTTTAACTAATATGTGTATAGCAGAATTCATATTTAACCTAATGTAGGCTCCAAGTTTTAAAACAAACTTTGTTTAGGGATCCAGTATATATAAATCCTTTTGTAAATTGGTTTATGGGGGCTAGACAATCACAAATGTCCTTGCAATCTCAAACTTATCAAATTTCTTGTATCTGCTCATGGCAAAAAAAATCTCCTGTTGCACCTCTTTTTTATTCTCTAGATGTTTCTCAAGTTTAAGAAAACATAAACATCAACAAGGAAATGAAGAAAAGAGTCCACAGAGCTCTGCAGCATTGAGCATTTGGCTGCCACAGAAAAGTCTAGCACCTCCTTGTGCTCGGGAGGTTTCTAGTCCAGCTGCTCTTGCTTTATCCTGTTTGAATTGGGTCCTCGCTGACTCGTCCTCCTCAGTTCCCTCCTCAGGACGTACTCGCTAAACTGGGATGAGTCCACGCCTCCGCCACAGGAGCCGGCGATCTCAAAGCCACGCTGCTGGAGACGCTCTAGAACCTGGAAAAGATGGATTGGAAAGATGGAGGAAGTTGTCTGTGGTAATGTGGGACATTGAGGAGGAATGTATCATTAGCACGCCTGTGACAGGCAGTGCTTACATATTTGTCTTTGATGGTCCATGTCAACTTGATAAGATGCTCTATAAATGATTTGTGGAGGTGTACCAGTTACCATAAACTGTGGTACTAAAACATTTTTCTCTAACCTTCTATTACTTCACAATGGGAAAGCATAGAATCATTTGACCCTGCTTCAGATACATGGCGCCGAGTTAATGCTAAGTCTAGCATCAGAAACAGCTCTGGGAGTAAGCTGCAGCAACATATGGCCTGTGACAAGAATTTGGATGAGACTTTCACAAAACCAAGAGCCCTTCATTTTGCCTCATGCCTCATTTTCATTGTTTTCTGGTGTGTTTTGTGTGTTTGTCTGTGTGTGTGTAGCTGCTCCTGATCTCGCAGCCTTGCAGACATCTACAGACATGTCCCGGGGGGATGTAGGATCACATTCCATCGAAGAGGCCCCAGGGAGCAGTGAGGCTTTCTCTCTGCCACTTGGCTCAGTGTGGGTTGTTTAGCAAACCCCGCCCCCTCCCCATTTCTACCTCAGCCCCCAGGCCCAAGCCTCCGCCAAAACTACAAAGGTCCCCATACTGCTGCTAGCTCTCTCCCCCCTTCCTTCGCTCAAAAACCCCTGCCCTGCCTCCATTAACCACAGATACAGCATCCACCGCCGGCGTGCTTTAATAACCAAACAGGATTATGGACCCTGCCTGGGGACAACCCGCCAGGGAGCATGCTCACTCTCTTGCTCACTCTCCACAACTCACACACTTCAGAGACGGGTTTCTTTGTGTGCTTTTGGGAAAGAGATAGAGATTTGCTTCCCTAAATGGGGAGACAGTCTAAGTCATTGTGAAATCTATTCAAATATGCCTCTCTGACATCATTTATTGATCAGCATCTCAGGATTTTGCTATTAGTGAATTAGTGGAATATTAATATACAAGCAGGGAAATACAATACTGCCAACTACATGCAAACTATAAAAGATTAATTTAACACATTTTTCTCAATCTATAAACTTTGTGTTCTTATTTGAGTGTCTGATGATTTGTCCTTAAACCTATTAGGCCTAGGAAAGGATCATATTAAATCCTTTCTGTACAGTATAAATGTGACTGAAGGTACCAAGAGTACTCTATTTATAGATCCACCTCTGGCTAATTAAAGACTTTAAGTCATAGTTTTGCTCCTCAAGAAATCACAACTTTCCTGACACCTTAAAAGTGATAATTAAGGCAACAGAGAGGGATGATTTTGATCAACAAAAATACCCTCATTTGACAAGACTGCTTTTCTAACTTTCCGTTCACTTGGTGTAGAACTAAAACTAGCCCACACAGCCTCAAAAATTGCTTATATATGAAAATGAACACTTACACATCTGGACTCTTTCGGATCTTCAGCTGTTTCTTTGCCACAAAAATATGTGGTACCGCTTGACTTAATATTACTTTAAAATGAGCATTGATCCAACACCCACCTCTGACACTGTATGTGTATATGTAAGTGTTTCACTGCATCCTGAATTGCCCACTTTTTCTTGCAGCCAGCTTCACCTGTTTGCACGTTCATGTGACCCTCCGACATGATTCAAGGTGTCAGCCAGTCCTTCACATGATGGAATGGATTCTACAATTAGCCCTGAATCGTCCTTTTTCAGCAGGCTGGCACTGATGCCCACTTAACGTCAAAAGTTTAAACTGTCAAAATGACTTAAGTATTTAACTGTAACTGTTTTTCATCCACATGAAACACATACGGCAAACGGGAACGACCGAATGTGAATCTGCTCCAAAGCCAAAGTCAAAATCTTTATTCTAATCAAATCACAGAAAAGTAAAGATGGTGGTAGGCTTGTGTAATGATGACTTGCTAAACTGATGCTTTGATGAACTCATCAAAGAGCTTATTTTTCTGCAAGGCTGTTCTTGTGATTTGATTAGATTAAGAAGGATAAAATTCTCCAATCAGACATCAGGAGGTCCTACATTATAACAGCAGATGAAAGAAGTTGAATGAACAGATCATCTCCTCAGTCACTTCCTTGGGCACAGAAGTGAATGGAAAAATATAGAAAATTGTTACTTTAAAAAGTGATGTATGACTTGACTGATGAATGCTCAGGAACACTAAAATAGGCAGTTCAAAATTACAACACACCCAAAGCAGCCAAATCATGTCATTACCTGGACCGAGTTGAGGTGGCAGTACCCATTGAGCGGGAAGCGGATAACGTGCGTGGAGTCATGGTTCCAGCCAGCATTGACAGAATTGCACATGACGTCACCGATCTCTGGAAACACGTCTTCAATCAGGGCCTTATCACCGCTAAGCGTGATCCTCTCACCCAGGTCAGGTGCAACGCGCACCACCAAACACTCGCAGGGGCGTGACACCCGGCCCAGCTCCTGGTCCTGGCGCCAGCGCTCCAGCTCTGCAAGCATTGGCTGCAGCTGGAAGTATCGTGCTTCCTCATACAGCAGACTATAGTCCTGTAGGAGACCGGGGACGATGTGGTGTAGATTAATACAATTCCATTTAAAGTCTTGATACTTCATGAAGTTTGTGAAGCAAACCTCAAGACAGTGAATAACTGGATATCAGTTAAGGTTTACAGAGTGTCAAAAATGTCTTCAAGGAATGTTATAAAAAATTTTTTAAACATTGTGCAAAATTACTTCCCCTGCTTGAATTGAAATAGAGGAAGCTGTTTGCCTAAATGCAGCATACACATAATACTTCTAGCTATGCCAGAGAGCAAAATAACCAAACACAGAACAAGCTAATCAGGTTAACATTGTGACTTTTTTTCCAAACCAAAAAAAGAAAATCACTGTTCTGCAGGCACAGGCAGCAAACCTGAGCTAAGACACCATTCTGTAAAAATTACAAAAGCTAATGAATAGAGGAGATGTAGTGTGACATACGACACAGGGTCGTGTGAGGTAGAGGAGCAGATCCTTTACCCGCAGGACTGCAGGATCTAAATTGCATGTTCAAGTTTTCTCGTGCTCCTCTCAAAACCTACCAGATATGAATATGTCCTTAGCCTGAACTTGAGCCTGTCTTTTGTCTTTATTTATTTTAGCTGACATACTTTCCACTGATTGAGTCACACTGTGGACGGTCCATCAGATAATGCAGTTATTTGTTTTCTCTCAGGGCAAGTTAAGTAATTACTGACTAAAGGACACATAAGACTAAATTTTAATGTTTCACATACAGTGAGAGTCACCCTGGATGGACACTTGGCATGAGAATATAGAGCAATGGAGAAATCTAGCACATGGTATGTGCTCATAGACACCAGAGCATTTATTTATTTATTTTCCCTGATACTAGCTTATTGGTCTTATTATTACATATCTCAAATAATCTCTGGTTGCTAATAGCTGGAGGGGAACAAACTGCATCTCATGAGAAGTAAATGCATTAGGATTGAGCCCTCATATTTTGTCTCCAGCATGGGTACCATTTTCAGTAATTCAAGAGGGACTAGTAACCAAAGGCATTCCGCAGCCTTAGCATTCATTGTGTGCACTAGGTTGGACTGCTGACTGGCTGATGGGACTTTACAGTTTTTAGGATGGACATGCACTCACTTTGAAGTCATCTGGGATGAGGAGCTTGGACGTCCTGAGGAAGTTGAGGATGTAGCGGAACATGTGTCCATCCCTGTCAATGAAGTAGTGCTGCTTCAGGCTGTCCAGGACTATAGGCTCTGTGCCATCAAAGAGACGACCAATTCTACCCAAAGAGAGAAGGGAGGGGGGTTGGTTAGGCAGAAAAGGATGAAGCGGGGCAACATGTCAAAGTTGACAAATGTTTTAATTTTTGCATGTAAATAATCATAACAATATTTAAAATATAATCAGTTGAGTACTACTCTGCAGCTTATGGCTCTGTGTCCTACACCTTGTGCAGTGGGAGAGAAGGAATGGAATAAAGAAAGATGCCCAAAATAATGCAGTGAAGCAAGAGCATGTGCAAAAGGATGTGACTCACTCAATTTTCTCAAGCTCTGAAATGTTTTTCACACCTTTCCACAGACATGTACCCTACACATTACCCAGCTCAATACACATATCAGACAGAAATAAATAAGGATAAAAAGAAAGAAAGGAAAGGAATAAAAAACAGAGGTGGTCTGGAGAGGTCAGGGCCAGGTGGTAGCTGGTCGCCTGAGGCTGGGTGCTAGTCGCCCTCAGGCCTGGGCTCAGGGCGACAGTGCAGCCTCCCAGCCTCCAGATGGCCCCATGCCCTTTGGGCCTTTACTACTGCTGTGACATCTGTCAGACTAACCAAGTTGCTTTTGTCTGTGTGCTGCATTCTACACTTGAAGCTCCTAGAAATTATTTACCACAAAAAATAACTGTGGGCCTTAGTTAAGCAGGAGAAGTTTAGTACCTGATAAATCCCAAAGCAAATGATAAAGAAGGTTCTGTGGAGTAAACATTTTATATAAACCCAGTAAGTGCATTCATGAGATCTGTGATTTGAAGAGATGTGACATTTGACTGTTTAATGTCACAGGATGACATTCAACATTAAACACAATGACATTAAACAGTGAGGAAATTTTGACAGTGACAAACACATCTAGCTTGGCATAATAACCCCCTTTTAAAGCACAGAATCTCCCACGGTTCCCTTCCCTGATACAAGCAAAACACCAAACACAACTCTTTACTATACTGGCCAAAAACACAAACTTGATCTCCATCACATGCTTAAAATTCAAATGCATAATAGAGCAGACTCACCGGGATTCTGGGAATTTTGTTAAGGTGGCCAGGCTGCTGGTATACATGTGTCCGCCAACATCAATATGCACAGGGGCGTTGGACTTGGTGAGCTGTGCAGGTGTGGGGATGCCCTGGTTACTCAAGGGAGACACTGGTGACCGTGTGATCATGGGCCTGGACATGCTGGAGCGATTATCCTGTTTGAAACAGCACAAGGAAGGAAATATTATGACACAAACATTGACAGAAGATGCATTCATTTCTGTGTTTCTGCTGCAAATCAAAGATAACCATTACATCAACAACGTGATTCTTTAACGTTATGTAACAATTAGTAGAGCTATTAATTAGAAACAACAATTAAAATATTTCTATGGAGCAACAAACTCCACTGACAGAAGTGAAAAGGAAGATTTTTCTCTGCAAGTTAGAGCAGCCTGACCTTGACCTGAAAGCATAAGCATCCGCTCCTGAGGGCTATAATCTCCAAAGCCAAATTAATTTGGAGCATCAATCTCACAGTTGTGAAAATGAGTAATATTGTCTCTTGATTTGAATACTTTAATAGGATTTGGGGAAAATGTCTCCCGTTAACCTAAAAACACCATTAGCAGGCAATTTCTGTTAAGCTCTCTGAAGAAAATTACTTTACATCCAAAAGTTTTAGACCCAGAACGAAGATGGGAGAAAATAGCAGCTGTAACATCTCAGTCACCGAGGATTTCTGAATTCTACAAACATTTTCTGAAAACGATTTAAAAAGTTTCACAATAAATTAAAGCAGGAAAGCAGCAAATGATTGTGCGTGCGTTTTATTGACAATATACACGCAAGGACAGCGGGAAGACAGTGTATTCACACACCACATTGTGTAAAACCTGGAGGTATCCAGTTCGCTCCTACAGCTAAAGTAACAGCTCGGCCCCTGTCTTCCACTTCTTTCCTTTTTTTTTGCAGACAATATCGGACTTTACGCGTTTACCTGCGCCGGCATCACTGTGGTTGGAGAAGATGTCACCGAATGGTCATTTTGCTTGAGTGATGCTGCGGGAACAGGCTCTCCTCTGACTGCGAACATCAGCGAGGGCTCCCTGCCCTCCGCTGCTCGGATCGGGAGACGTTTGAGGGAAGCGTGCACGGACTCATCCACAGAACTGATTGGACGCGGTCGCTTTCTCGCTTTCTGATGCGTTAAGTCCATGATATCCGTTTCGTCCATTACAGCTCAGACTATAAGTTTAACAGATAGGACGCGCTTTTCCAAACGCACCTACCGAATGTGGAGAGGCGTAAAAAGCGGGATAGCGAACAACGGGGGAAGGGCGGCGCCGGGGCTGTGACGGCGCATTTTCAGAATTAAACCAATCCTGCCTGCAGAAATGTAATTGTCTGGTTATCAGAGTGGGGTCAATGCGCACATCTGGACCTGCCACAACTGGCCTTTGCCCTTTTGGAGAAGTGTTTGTGCGCGTGGTCACCCTCCTCCTGATGGTGCTGCCCATTGTTCAGCAGCATTTGTTCAGCATGTCAGACCCTCCTTCAACACAATGGTCCCACAAAGCCCAAAGTTCACACACACTGACAAAACCAAAACCCAATCAAGCACCTGGACAAAGGTGTCCCTTACTCCCTCCTCCCACAAACACACATATGCTAACTGTACAGTAGCTATATCACTCCTAAACCCCTTTCTAGATCCTTCCAATGACATAAAAGCATCATTAGACTAATATTATTTTCAGTTGCCTAGATGTATTCTTAGTAAAAGAAAATCTTGAAGGGCAAAAATACTTTTTTCAGAATATTAATAACTTAAATGCCCTTTAAGGGCACAAAGAAACAGTCCTCTAAAACAGCTGTCCTTCAGAGAAGAATGAGGTACTTAAAACAACTCTTGGTCAGTTTTTAATGGCTTTATGCCTGACAAATGTCAGAGTTGCTGTTTATTAACTGCAATGTGTAAATGATACCTCAATGACCAGTTCAGCATTGCAAAACCACAGCACTAATGCCATAATGGATTATAGAATCATAGCATGTCCAGGTGCTGTTATAAAATACTGCCACAGCACTCGCCTGCGCTGTTTTTACACAGAAAATGCAATGGATCCACAATTCTTAATAACTTTCAGAGTTAAATTAATTAGTTTAACCACTGGCCTTAAAACATCCACATTCCTGATTCTCACAGGCAGTGTGAGTTTCACACCTAGACACCCAATTAGCAATTAAGCTTGCCTTTGAGTGGCCTCCAATGCCGAGTGTGATCCTGGTCTGATTTGCATGCTGCTTGTGCACGCGCTGATAAGCGCAGGCAGCAGCCATACATAGTTTTAAAATTCAACTCCAGAATCCCTTGCAGAAGGCAAAGGGGCCTGCAGGGCAAAAGAGAGCGAAATCACATGGCTGCTCTTCAAAAGGGGACCTGTGTAAGGCAGCCAGCAAAGTGCGTGGGATCACACTCAGAATGCAGGTAATTTGTTCCCTGACTAATTTGTGAAGATGGCGGTGTGTGTGTGTGTGTTTGAGTGTAAGAACGAGAGTGTGCCTGTGGAGAGTAAGTTCTGAAAACAGCTTGGTGGAATTGGATTTCCTCAAAGCCTTGTCATCGCAAAGGTGGATTGAGTGTAAAATCTGTAAGGCATTATGGAAAACTGCAGGGGAGAGAGAAGAGTGAGTGGAAGAGAACAAGCAGTCAGGTAGGTGGCTGGCGGAATGCGCTCTTGTATCACAAAATCATTCTGAGTAGGTGGAAGTAAAGATAATGTGTTGTAGATCTTTTCTTGGACTGATGTCTATGCCATATATCTGTCTTATAGGTCAAGGACAGTTCAAAGGTCACTGCATCATCAGAACTCATCAGTAAGTATATGATAGAGGACTGATTCCTGTATCAGCCATCAGCTCCAGATGTGCACTGCAGATCTCCCACACCAGCTCTTTTCCTACCTGTTGCCATTTTGAATTTAGCACAGCGCTACAACTGTCTCCCATGTGACAGCATTTGTAGGTGTGTTTGTAGACGTGTCTAAAGTTTCCAGCCTTTGTGAAGCTAAATGGTATGTACATGTTTAGGGAAACTGCTCATTTAGTCAGCTTGTGTAATTTTGTTGCACCACAAACAAATCTAAAACATGCACATGGCATCAAAAACCTGGAGCACTTGGCTGCTCCAGTTACTCCTGTTGCTTTCTACTTGTGGTCTTTCAGTGACATGCCTTTTATGCAAAATCATCATTTAACATATTCCTTTCTATATCAAGAAACAAATGCTGTAGCTCTTGTTCAACGTCTTCTTTCCTACTGTGAGCTGTTATCCACTAATGCTCCAAAAATGCAAGTATCTGCTACTGAATAATCACAGGGCCTGTTGGGATCAGCAAAAGCAACAAACTACCTTTCAATTTTCCATCCCACAATGCAGTTCTTCAGTGTTTTGACATATTGCACAAGACACAATTAGCATTTCAGATCAGAGCATTAACATTCAGTTGGAGGCAGGCAGACTGGTATTTACATAATCTGGATGGGTTGTCTCCGCTTTGGAGCCCATGGCCATTTGTTTCAAATGTCCACACATAGACAACTTAAGATTTTGGGTTGGCTTCAGTTAGCGGCAGCTGTACAGGCAAAAATGCCAGGTAGCAATACTGTCATAATAGAATGGTATTGTATGATGGTTGTCTGGTCAGGGGTTTATCATTATGTATTTTATGAATGGACATTAGTTATTATAAGGTGGCTACTCAGTTTCCAAGCAATACCACATCTGTAATTTGCTAATAATGATGATATGAATGTTTTAATCAAACTTAAGACATTATCATCAGTATTTTCCGTCCTCACTCTTTTGTGAGTCTTGACATACCTCCTGTATGGTGGCAATGATTATGTTTGTTTAAAAATGCTTTATGAATATGCTTATTCTATTTTGATGAAACACCATCTGTGTTTTGCATTATATCAGCCTCATAAATCCTGACTCCAAACTAAAATCATATTTCTCAGTAACAATGGTAGGTCTGTGTGTTAATGCTGACAAAAACAGAAATGTGTGCACTGTAAATATTACTTTTGTGTTTAGTGCACATATGCCTGAAAGAGAAAAATTATCTGAGTAAATAGATTATGCTGGTCTGCTCCTTCAAGTGAAATTAGAATAACATACACAATCATTTGTAATAACTTAGGGTGATTCAGTCTATATTTGAGAATAAGCAGAATTATAGTCATAGAACTTGAGTCACTCAGTTAACAATGACTAAAATGCAGTGTGAACTCATGTAAAGTTGTACATGTTGCATCCAAGTGAATTACATGTCATTGCAATGATACAGTCTTTATCAAACAGAAACACACCATTATTCCCTGAGTTTTATTACAAGTAGGGCTCCATTCTTTGTGGAGTTACTATAGCAGAACATCAGCATGACATCACAGACAAGGAAGTGTGATCAGCGCTGTGTTGCTATAGGACAGTGGTGCATGTTCACTGGCAGAGACCGAAGGGTACAGGGTACAGGAGTGGGAGATTCATAGTCAGAAAATATAATAACAGTATTTCTCTCCAAGGACTCCCAGTTTGGCAAGTAAAACAACTGTAACTCAAAACAGATGGTCCGACAAATGTAACGTGGACTTACAGATCTGTCTTATAAATATTTGTCTTTTGCCAGACCAGAGTCTGTTTGTTAAGTAAAATTTTACTAGGACACAGATGTAGAGATGCTGGACATACTGTGTAGTAAAGCAGTATGGCTTTGTTATCACAGCGCCATCAAGTGATCGGACTTGACTACTGTAAATCTCTGCTTATTCGGGCGCCACTTGAAACTGATGAAACCGACTACTTTCGTTACAGCTGGCCTGAACTTACAGCTTTTAAATAATAATAATAATAATAAATGTACATTTAATGAATGTGATTTACAGCCTCATCCTCCCAGTGCAACGAGAAATGTTCCCAAACAATCGACCCATTTTTGTTTAGAATACAGGATAATATACAGTTTCAAAATGTAACTTTATGTAGAGAATTCATGTTTACTTCCACGATTAATACTCCCATAAGTGCGACAAGTCCAGATTCTGACTTGGTAAACTATTGTGTTTGCCGATTCACATCCGGACCTTGGAGTTGGTTACGCACGGCGCGGTCACGGAGCCAAGAGAGGAAAAAAGAGGACAAAATTCACTCCTATTTATGTGTTCGTTTACATAAATATGGTTCTTTTAACACGATCACGTTTATATTAAAGGGTGATTCACAGTTTCCGCATTGACGTCTGAAAAAGGTACATCCTGTTTTACAGAAAAAGAAAAACGCCTGCGGCAAAATTACTCCACAATGGCGTCTTTCATTAGAAGATCTAGGGCAGCCAGGAAATAGAACTGTTTCACGATAAAACTGACTTCAAAATCTTCACGGAAACAATAAATGCTGGATTGAGTAAGTTATGAACAAGTTAAACAGCAACAGCGACACGGAGACGGTGATGTCTTGGGAATCGAAACGCGCCAGGAGCGAATTCACAGGATGGCTAAGTAGTGTTTGCTCGACCAGATCTCAGTCTAATCCGCTGTTCATCTGGCTCAAATACACCTAATATACTGCATACCGTAGTCAGACGCATGCATTTGGACAGTAACTAAGGAACAATAGCCAGGAAGTGGTTAAATGCTTTTAAGAACTGTACCAGTCGAATCGCTTGGCACATGCGTAAAAGCTGCTGCGCCTCAATGTCCCAGTCCATCCAGCCTCTGAAATAATAGCGAACCAAATAAATTTCCGCTTACCTGAAACATAGAGCGGCATAAAGTATCTTTTTGTGCACCTTTTCCCGCCGATTTGGCCCACGATCTGCTTCTCTTCCTACACCAGTGAGAAATGCAATAGCTTGGCTAAGGTAGACAGAACAAAAATACAGAGAATACTTGCTCCAGGGCTCCGAAACCCCTCAAGGCAAAGATCAGGATACAATTAGCTCATGTCTCTGCCCCAGTCTAAACCAATCTGCAGAATAAAACTGCGAGCAAAGGAAGAGATCACAGCAGCAGTGCCTCAGTCTTTGTTGAGTTTATGTTTTTATAAAATCAAATAAAGAAATCTTTTTTTCCTGCATTTACAACACCCTCACTCTTCCTGCCTCCAACTTGCCTATTGCCTCCCTCTCGCAGAGAAGCTGATTTTAATCGTTATGATTAGTTTTGATGTAACGTTCCCTCGGGCGATTTCTGCAAATGGATGGAGTGTTTCTTCGCCAGGGAGGAAAAGAAGCAGATGATGATAATTATATAGATTGTTGGTGGAGTCCTTTGATTTTTCCCCCCTACCTCTCAAACATCTAACCTAGCCTGTTTCTTAAACATGCCATACGCACTGCATGTGCATCAGACAACTTGTTGATTAGACTGCAATCAACTTATTAAATTAATGGAATGTGGTTAATGAAATTCTCATTCTGTAGTTTCTCCTTTGTAATCTTTTCAGGCTCTTTTCTCCCTCTGGATAACCTCCAAATGACGTAGTTGTATAAATAAGCACTTGCAGCTTGCCTTGCCCCAATCAAGTCTGAATCAGTGCCTGAGGGTGATGTGCAAGCTCATTTCAAATGTTCAGCCATGCATGATTTCAGGAAGATTGAGGCACTTCTGAGGTTTATAGAATTACTTGGAGGACGTAAACAGTAAAAAAAATAAATAAATTTAAACTCCTTCCTCTTTTAAAAATCCCTTCATGTGAACATAAATAATTATTCTGAGTCAAGAGTGCTGTTTATATGCACAGTTAGCCCCAGCCATACAGAATAGAATAATGCTTAAATATCCGCTCTTGCTCCCCCTTCTGTTGAGAGCATTCACTTTTTTAACAGCAGCTGAAAGCAAATCAGTTTAGCCCTGATTGTAATGTTACCCAACATAAGAACCAGAAAAAGCATAAGGAAATAAAAGAGAACGCATCCATTTGAAGCTAATCTTTACAAACAGACTGTGTATCTCAATGTTCATCCAGGGAGAAAACTGAATCCAACTTTGTTTTGAAATTCAAGCAACAGTTGAATAAGAATGCCACATCAAGGGGCCAGTGACTGATGAATGCGAGTATACAAACAAAAGCATTTTCCAGTTCTCCTCATCAGAAGAGTTCCCTTCACAGAGCGTCTTTTGTAGATGATAAACAGAAATGCTTTTGATGAAGGGCCAGCTCTCCCCGAGATCCAGAGACCAGTAAACTTTCCACCTTTTGACCAGCATGTCCCACAGAAAAACAAACACAGGACTGAAGTGTTACGATGAAGTTATTTACCCCACAGGTTACTTCCTGGCACACGATACACCAAGCTTCAAGTACCAAGGATTACGCACATTCACACACACACACACACACACACATGCCATTAGTCTGACAAGCTATAGTGAACAGAGAACACCTCAGGCTTTAAAATCCCATACGTTATCCATTACCCACACAAGCAGAGGCCATCCATATAGGGATCCTCGAAACTAACCATTGGAGATCTTTGAATGTATGCGGTGCTTGATGCCAAAAAACAAAGCCTTTGCTCTAATGCCACTGTGGAAGGGTTGTATTTTTCTTGGATCCAACTGCTACAGGAGGCGAGCACTGGCTGGTTGCACCATGTTTTGGTGAACAAATTATCCAGATTGGTTGCAGATGTTAGTTTTCCCCAACAGAAACTGCCTAGCATGAATGATATCATAGGGTTATAAAAGCATATACAGGAAAAACGAAAGAAGAGCCCTGGAAAATATGGCTTGTTGGAATTTTGACCAACTGATTGCAGCAATTGTACCCAAGTTTGGTTATCAATCTTTTTGGCCACATTTAACACAAAGACTATCAGAATTCTGAAGGAAGAAATAATACATTCCTCCTCTTACATTACAATTCAGAAGTTAAATTCATTGACAATATAACGTTTTTTATTAAGTCAGTGACATCAGTGAATCATTTTGCTGACTTAATGACTCTTTCTTTACTTGTGCTACATTTACATTAACTGTTATCCACCATTTACTCTTATCCAATGATGCAACTATCAAATGTAACATGATTTCACTTCCAGGGTGTGCCTTGACACAATTTAAACCCTGAAAGGAAAGCTCAGTTTTATAATAACAAGGTTTGTTGTCTAAGTCGGTATTTGAATATCTAGGAGCATCTTTGCTCAAAACACATTTATAACCTCAATTTCTTGAGTCAAATAATATTCAAGTGGCTAAATTACAACTATGGCAACTATTGCTCCAATGACACTGGCTATCTGCTCCTTTCGTGTCAGTATGGCTGAGAGAGATGCTTATTTAGCCTCAGACCATATTAATAACTGCTGCTATACAAGCCACACCCCTCTAATGCCCTGTGGTTATGTAAGGGAGTGGGATGGATAAGGGAAAGTGCTGAAGCTGCTCCAGAGCCTGACTCAATTTGTCCTGCAGGGTTGCACATATTTAGGCCAGAACTATTCATCAAATATTTTCTTTGGCACAGTGAAATGCAGCTTTGGAGAAAGTCTCTGTTACCCCAGTGCAGTCCAAATCGTACCAACAGGTATGGCCCTGGAATGTTAAACATTAGCAATGGTAATAGAGGAGGTCTTTTGTTCAGTTAGCAATAGCTAACAGTAAAGATAACAAGCCTGTGCACTGCTGTGTCATTGTTCACTCCTTTCTCCACAGATGTTCAATATGCAAACTCTGTGGAGTATGTACATGTGTGCACCTTCCTATTATAGTGGGGTTATTACAGTTTGTGTGGCACACAGACAAAAGTGATCAAAAACCAAGATCTTAAGTCAACAAGTCACTTTTCCTGTAACTAAAAAAATGAGGTTCCCTGTTGTATGTTATCACTTGTAGCCCACTCACTGACTTCCATTTCAGCCCCAAATGTACCCATCCCACCCGCAGTGGACAGAGGAGTCAGTGACACTACTGTGAGGGGAAGAGAGACAAGAGGAGGGGGCTGCTTGGGTAATGCTGGGAGGCTCTAATAAAATGTAATCCTATTATATGGTTCCCACTAGAGGGCAACAATAATAAAGGTTTCCCTAATAACACGAGCAGACCAAACCCAAATGGAAAACAGCTCCTCCGGTCAAGTCCCACACTTGTACATATATCCTCTCATTAACCCAATTGCTGTTGGGCCAAATTACACTGACAGGCCTTCGAGATTTAGCCATGATGGCAAGGCAAGAGTTAAGTCAAACAAATGTGTTTCATCAAACTGCAGTTTGGGTTGCTCTGCATAAAGGAATTGAAGGGGGTAGGAGGAGGAGGAGGAGGAGGAGTGAGGGAATGTGTGCGGGTGGGAAGGTGGAGGCAGAGCCCCGAGGAAACCAATCAGAACTTCTCCACCCTCCTTTCCTGTGTCAAAGCCACTGGGGTCTCAGGTGTGTGTTACATGAGCTAATACCTCCCAAACTTGATTGTTTGTGTTAGAGTTTTGTAAATTACCATTTTGGAAATGATAGTCCTACGGTTGATAAACAAAATCACAATATAGCAGAGGAACACCGCAAACTAGAAATCACATGAGAAGATTCAGTAGCTTAGGAAACCTCCAAATGATTATGAAATTTAATTCTTCCTTGTAGGCCAAATGAAATTAAATATTTTTTAAAATTACAAAAAAAAAACTGGAATTTCATCAAATGAGGTGCTTTACAAATCAGCTCTTTTCACAGTGCTGGTGACTCTCTTGGACTAATTTTGCTGGAATAGGACTCAAACACAGAGCCTCATATTTCTATGATTTGATAATGTAATGAATGAGTTATTCCAGTCCTTAGCTATCTCACATAAATGCAGTAAAATATTTATCATAAGTGACAAGGTGAGTGAGAATATCAATCATATTCTCAAGACAGCTTGAGTTATTAAGTGAGCCAGTGTAACAGTATTACAAAACCTAGAATAACAAAGTTATTTATCTCTCTTTCTGCATGTGTGTATGTGTCTACGAACAGTTGTGTGTGTGTCTGCCTGTGTTTATGTGTCTGACAGCATCAGACACAGAGTGAGAGAGAGAGTGTCGCATGCCTTCCTGTTCCTGTACCACCCTCCAACCCCAGAGCCGCAGACTCAAGGCAGTTTCCAGAATCAAACAATTTCACGCAGCTACTGGAGGAGGAAATGAACTGAGCCCAGAGCAATAATAAAATTATACAAATGTTATTACAGACTCGCCTGCTACTGTCCTACTTTAATTCAAATTTGGACACTCCAGGCAGTGCTGGTGGCAGAGACCTTCCTGAATAAATCAACATTAGCTTACGTCTAAATTATTAAGGAAGTGGGAGACTTTCTTGTTTATAGTATGAATTATTAAACAAGTGTTTAACGCTGTTTTTCTTCATGAATCCCCAAATATTAATTGCTAATGATCTTAAAGGTGTGTGTTTTGTGTTTTGCCCCTTCAGTTGCATGCTGGGAATTGAAAATATGAATTTTCAAGTCGCAAGAAACCTGCCTGTTCTCAGTAAGATAAGCATGAGATGCACTTTGAGATATGCTTTACTTGATGTGCAAATGACATTCTAGTTACAGCAATATTTTCATCATACTGCCATTGTTGATATTTGCAATCAACGTAAATGCAAATTAATGAGTTATGGAGTCAGCCACTGTAAAGGCAATCCATGCATTATCAGTTTTCTTGCTGATAAGTCATTCAAGATGTTCACAAACAGCTGTTATTTGCTGTCATTTCTCATTAGCTTTTTGCTAAATAAGCTCTGCAGCAATGTTTAGGAAGATTGTCAGCATGCAGAGAGGAATTATTTTGTAATGAAATACCAGGATTTGATTGTCAGTTTACACTGTCTGTTCATATAGTAGTCTGAAACTGTATAGCAAGGAAGTTCAACAATCTGTATGTCAGATCAGATATAATAAATATTTACCAAGATGAACATTTCACTCTCATTCACAAATATGAAATTCACAGCAAAACCACATTTATAATCCAGCAGTGTTTGTCATCTTCACCTGTCTTCCTCTGTTTAATCTTCCAATGAGTAAGGGCAGATGAATCAAAACCGAGTGAACTCATTCCCTATCGTCTGTCCCAAGAGGAAAAAGTCAATGCATGAAATATAAAATTTATGTATTCATTTATTTGGGCTATAAAGATGATTAAAGGGGAGCTGAGAGGGTATTGGCCTCAAGCCACTGAAGCCTTAAGGGGTAGAGGCAGCATACATGCAGGTAAAGTATAGGGGGCTGAGAAATTAACTGCTGTCCATCTTCAACTCCAGCAGTCCTGGAAGAGCAGCATTTGTTAACACCACAACTGTCTCACAGTACTCGTCCTTAGGACTTCATTTGTAAATATAAAAAAAGTATTGGGCAGGCAGTTGAATTTAGGCAGTTCAAGTGAAAATAAAAACCTGTGTATGTGTTCATACTCACGAAATTGCAAAATAATAAGAATGCAAAAGTTGACAAAGTACTTTGACTCATTTCAGCTCCTGTAGCTGGAGTACTGGGTCCCTGGACTAACACCAAATGCTCCTGTTTTCTGAATTAATGACATGGACCAATTTTAAGTTACACGTGGCCCAGACTTAGAATGAAACTCACTTGGGTCTAACCATGTCTACAGTGTAACCTGTGCATCCAAGGCTCGTGGCTGCCCTCCCCTGGAGAAATACAGATGGGAGAAAAACAACACAGTAGGTGATTCATACTGTGACCAGTAGGGGGTGCTGTTGCTATGTACTGAAACTGCATTTACAAGAGGAAGAAGGTGAAATCGGGGAGTTGGCTCACTTAGGAGAAAAAAAAAACCGTTTTGATTTAGTATCTGAAACACACTGGCATTCAGTATTTGCATAAACAGTATAGCTGCACCATGTTGACAATTTCAGCTGATGCAGCAGGAGAACTGTGGAATAATCATTTCCTCCACATTACAGAAAAAAGATTGAATTACTCCTGCTTGGTGTTATCATTTCCTGTGCTCTCTGCTGATGGAATGAGATTACATTAAGCTATTCTCAGAGACTGGACTCACAGGGAAACACATCGTGGACATTTATCTGGCCATAGGGAGACATAATCTACAGGTAGATGAGCCAGTTGGTCATTGATTTCATCCTCTCCTCTTCCCAGGAGAGGAGAAGATCAGGATCAGGTGCTCAGCCCCTACTATCAGAAACAACTGGACACAACTCAAATGAAAAGCCTGAACATTTACATCCTGTAGAACTTCAGGTGTTTGAGCTTAAAATGACTGAGTAGTATCTGAGCACAACATCACCAAGAAAGATCAGCAAAAATTTAATAGTAAATTAAATACTTAAATATGAAACACAGAAAATCATAAATGTGTTATAAGAACCAAATCTAGATCTAGATCTATAAAATATACATATGACATCAGCAAGTAAAAAAGTTTTTTTTTTACAGAAAACAGTGTCTGCATAAAGATGAAATAGCTGTTACATGACTGATGCACTGAAAATAGAGGGCATGGTACTGGACCTGATAATAAAGGTTGTCAGAGCTGTCTTACATTGCTTGGGCCCTGTAATGTGCTTAATGATCACAAGGGAAACCTCCCAGTTATTACATATAGAGTGGATGAACCAAATGTGACACTAATCCAAAAATAACAAGCCTGCATTTTCTTCTTCACTTCATCCGATTCAGTATAATGACCCACCATAATTGGTTGACCCTGCATACATTTCCTTAACACAATATGGGCTGTTGTTCTGCAGCGTACAATGTGCACCACATGCCAGCACCACTACAGAATCATTCAGGGCCTCGGGATTAGTATTGAGCCGGCTGCAAATGTCTGTTGGACTGCATTATATTAGCTTTATGACAATGAGGTGAGTAATTCAGCCCTGATATGAAGCCTCATGGACAGAAATCATATTCTGCTTTGAGGACAAAGTCTTTGGAGAGAGACAGATTCTCCAAAGTTTGATTTGTCTTTCGGCTCTACAGATTGGTCTCCATTTCCAGTGCATGTTTCAGTCAGGCAGAGGACACTTCTCCCATTGGCTCCAGGAAAGGATCTTTCTTCTCGGTGCCCTCCAGATTGATGGTGTGGATGGAGCCTGGCTTGGTGGCAATGTCCTCTGTCTCCACCTCCTTGTATATCCCTGAAGGCTCTTTTTGAAAGATCTGCTTCAGCCTCTTCTTCAACTCAGGGTCAGGGCAGTACAGGTATTCATACAGAGCAGCAGCCAGGATGCCCCCCAGAATGGGTCCCACCCAGTACACCTACCATAAACAGTAAGACAAACACCTTATTTAGTTCGCTGGCAAATCAGTGGCCATGAGTGATCTTTTATTACTGACAACACAATGCAGCACTGACATTGTTACCACAACTGTCAAGCTGTCAAACTTGAAAAAGAGGGACAACCTTTTTCAGAGGCAGGTACAGTAGCTCTGTTAGCTTCTGATTTTTTTTTTTCTTTTGCCATTTCATTTGCTGGGTTCAATCAAAGGTCTTAAGTAAGGTTTGTATTGTATTTTTATTTACTGCTATGAGTGAAAGGCAATTTAATTTTTTTTTTTAGATCACACCTGTTTACACTGCCCTGGCAATGATGCTGAAACTGTGACCTTACCAGGTTTCAACATGGCATTCTAACTTACTGTACTGTAGTTAGAGCTTGCCTTCTTCAGGAATGTAAAATAAGATGCCCAGAATAATTCTGAGCATTTTAACATGACACCATGACACAATGTTTGAAATAGTAAGCTGATTAATTATTATTTCAATACTCTTATGCATTATCATTTGTACAGAAGTGGCACACGCTGACTGGCATGCAAACTGGCCATGCAAACTCCTAAAGGAAAAAATTATCCTTGAATGGAAGTATCTCTCACCCAGTGGTTCTCGAAGTTAAGTGTGATCAATGCAGGCCCAAAGGAACGAGCAGGGTTCATGCTGGCTCCTGTATAAGGAATCTAGAAGACATATTTGCATTGTTTTCAGTCTAAATGCTAAAACAGCTTAGTTTTGTGTAACGTTGTCATCTGAAATATGGCTAGGTATAAAGCTGTCCTGTCTTGACTGACAAAATGTTTCTCATAATTAAGAATATATCTTACACAAGTCAGAATAAATGTACATGTATATGTGCATTTGTTAAACAGACCAGTGAAAAAAATCAGTTGAGCTGTGTGAGAGGTAACATCTATTTCCCTGTGCATTCATTTTCTCTGCAGGGTTCAGGGAGCCCCCGGAGACTCGTTGCCATGCAGTGGTAGTCTCCAATAAAGATGTGCACGTGGGTGTGAATCACAAAGAAGTGTGCAATATCACACATTAAAGAATGGATGCTTTGATGCA